TGCTCGGTTCTCGCGAAGTGAAAGAACTTGCGGTTGACGTAATTAACATTGCCAATCCTGGGCGTTTCGATCCCTCTACGTATATGCCAGTTGACCGACAACTGACAACCAAAATTGTTGCTCATTATGCAGATGATGACTTGATCAAAGGAGTTCATCCAGCCTTCTTACGCTTCGTTGACGGCATCTGGTGGTGGAGGAATAGGTTATACGTACCTATGAAGATGCGACAGGCCTTGTTTGAAGAGCTACATGTGTCACCTGCCGGAGGGCATTGGGGTGGTTTGAAATCCTATGAATTACTGTCAAGGTCGTTTGGATGGCCGGGGATGCGTACTGATATTTTGAACTACCTTCGGAGTTGCGCTAGTTGCCAACAGGTGAAAGTAGATCGACGTCCACCCCAAGGACAACTGATTCCTTTGCCCATTCCGGATAGACCGTGGTCCACGATCGGCATTGATTTTATTGTTAAACTCCCGATTTCGAAAGGTTTCGATTCAGTAATGGTCGTTGTCGATCATTTCTCAAAAGCGGCACATTTCATTCCAGCCAAAGAGACATGGAAGGCGGACGAATTAGCAAAGGCTTTTGTAGATCATGTTTTTCGATTTCATGGCTTACCTGACGTTATTGTTTCTGATAGGGGCACAACTTTGGTTTCGTCGTTCTGGACAAGTGTCTTGGGTCTCCTTTGTGTGAAACCTGCTCCATCCACGGCTTTCCATCCTCAGACGGATGGCCAAGTGGAACACACCAATGCCTTACTGGAGGACTACTTGCGGCATTTTGTTTCTGAGGATCAGGGCGACTGGGCAAATCTCCTGGCTTTAGCTGAGTTTTCATACAATAATTCTGTTTCAAGTTCCACCGGGATGACACCGTTCTTTGCACTTTTAGGATACCACCCACGTTTTAATTCTTTGACGGGCTCTTCGGGTAGGCCAGCGGCCGATGGCTTTGTTCAACACATGCAAGAAGTGCAAGACTTGCTACGAGATAATCTTTCGCAAGCAAAGGATGCTCAGGCAAGGTTTTACAACAAGGACCGTCGAATTTCAGTGGTCTACAAGCCGGGGTCCCTTGTTTGGCTCTCCAGGCGCCATTTGAAGACAAAACGCCCAAACAACAAGTTGGATGTACGCCGTTTGGGTCCGTTCCCGGTGGTTCGGATGGTTGGGAACAACGCAGCTGAGTTACAATTGCCTCCTTCATTGCAGCGTTTGCATCCTGTATTCAATGTTTCCTTGTTACTACCGTTTGTAGAATCTTCGGGGACAGCCGCCGTTCCCAGACCTTTGGGGATGACGGATCTGCTTGTGGACGATCATGAGCGTGTTAGGACTATTTTTGATTACCGTCTAACCAATGTTGGCATGCACGAATATCTGGTGAAGATGGAGAATGCGTCACACTTGGATGCGCTATGGCTACCACTCTCTAGGATTCCCTTTGCCTTAGATCATTATCTGGAGCGCTTTCATCGGATGTCACCTTCTTTGGGGTCTGGACCTGCTGATGGTGTCTGGCGGGAGCGAGCACGACAAAGAGTGGACTCTGCTTACGATGCGGTTGCTGGTCCTCTTATTTCATGAAATTTTTTAGCCCTCCATGCTAACCCCTGTGAGCCTAAACAAGCCACTCAAGACTTGGGTATGTGAAAGCGTGGTGGTAATTTTTTTTATCATGGTATATGGCAAGTCATAATTTGTCATGAACTGCTAGGACTGTTAGGTACTAGTAGGATATGCTGTTAGCAGCTTAGAAGATGTGTTACAGAGAATTACATAATCAAGGAACAACTCTCAGATCTGAAATTATGTGCCTTATTTTTATATTTGTTTTCATATATATCTTGTATTGTTGTCTAGATTATGATGCTTTTCTCTTCATCAGAATAATTATTATCTTCCCCTCTCTTTTCGTTTACATCTCCGATCCGAGATAAAACCGTCTTTTCATAAAAGAGGAATCGCTATAACTGAGCCGTGAGGATTCTCCGATTGAGAATCTCAGCTACATCCCAGATCATCACACTCAGGGTTCTGATATTGTGTGTTATTCTGTACTAGCTTATTCACAAAGGATACAACACCGGATTACCCCTCCAGTAAACCAGTCGGGGCCGGAGGGGTAATCTGGTGTCGTATCTTTTGTGAATAAGCTAGTACAGAGCCCGGAAATATTTCTCAACGACGAGAGATTTAAGCAGATGTACTTTTCTCAGTGGTTTCGCGATTGCTTGGTTTTGAAGGTGATTGATGAAGCGCATATGACCCATACATGGGGGCTTGTAGAGAGCGGGAAAAAGTACCTTGCATGGGTGAAGAGTGCTCAAGATTCAGGGATCTTCCGTCCGTCTTATGGAAGAATGGGAATGTGGTTGGCTTCAACTGATCGACTCCCGATACTTTTGATGTCTGCCACATGTCCACCAAGACACCATGATCTAATCTATGCTAATTCAAATATTTGAAGATTTGATATTGATTATGTGGAAGGTGAATTGTGTCGTCCTGAGATTACAATTCTTCGATTAGCAATGCAGAAATCACAAACATCCCTTGAAGATCTCTCCTCCAATTTCGCATTGAAACGCAAAGTCTCTGATAATGATTTGCCACCTACTTCAATCTATTCAAATACAAGAAAGTCAACCAAGAAGGTACTCAAGGTACTCAATGGCGCGCGAGGGGTTCTGAAAGGTGAAAGGGACCCCAAAAGCACCTTTGCTTGCAGGTTTCACTCAAACACTGGGCCTACAGACAAGACCAATAATATTTCCAACTACGCAGCGTCTTGTTATCCTATCATTGCATGTACTTTAGCCTTAGGTCTGGGTCGAAATTGGACCTGAGTTTGCCAGGTGTCCAATTTGGAAGGGCAGATGCTGCTGCCGTATCTCAAATTATCAGACAATGTGGACGCAATGGTAAACCAGGCCTCACCGTTTTCTACACTGAAAAGAGACGTCTCCATGGAAAGAACTCGGTGTCAGATTTTGAAGGCCTGAAGGAGTTTTCTGATGATGATCTAATGGATGGGTTGGCTGTAACTCCAGTCTGCTTGCGGATTGCCTTGACTTTGAGTAACCTGTATGTTTTTGATTAAATGTAACTCGAACTGTGCAAGGCTGATTCCTCCTCTACATAGACTTGGAAGAATTCCCATGAGTGACAACAAAGAAATCTATGTAGAAGAGAAACTTCAGCAAGAAAAAGGCGGAATGTGTGCCTGCCATTGCTCAAATTGTGAGCCTGAAGTATGCAGGAAGTTGGCTGCACAAATGAAATGGCTTACCATGGCCAACTTCAAAGCTGGACTTCAAAATCCGGATATTCTGCCACATTTGGAAGTTGCCGCACCAATGGCTTCTTGGGATACTGTTGAAGACAAGAATGCCGAGGTTGATGCACCAATGTTCAATCAAAACCCCCAGTGTCCACCACCTCGCCGTAATGAACTGATCCAGCTGGCTGACCTGCTCACTCTGACAGTCAAGCAACACCATCAAAGATTGATGACTAACGCCAATCAGCTAAGGCCAACAGATTACGTGGATGATGATGACATCTGGAGGGTATTGGATAAGATACACCACATTCAGAGCGAAAATGATGTTTTCAAGATTCTTGGATGTGATCTATTACTGGGTGGAGTGAAGTTGATGTTTGATTATCAAAGACTGGCGGGTAGGAAGTGTTGGTATGCGGGCTTTAGCTGAGATGCGTGTGAGGGAGGCATCCACTTGATTATCGCAGGCAAAAACTCTTGCTAGACTACAGAAGCAACATGAAGAACAACAAGCAAAAGAAAGAGACGCACGGGTCCTGAAAGAAGCAAAAAGAAAAAGAAATAAGATTGATGATGTTGCCAAGAAGGAGGAAAAGAAACAACGGAAAACAAAAGCTCAACAGAAAAAGGATGCTGCAGCTAAGCTGAAGTCCAATCAAAAAACCCAGGCTGTGGTGAATGCACGTATGATTGCAAGTTTGAAGAGCGGAAAAACAATGTCAGTGTCTTTTTGCTCTGACTACATGGTTTGGTCTTTAAGTTAGTGGTTTGGTGATGCTGATATGCTTGATCCAAATAAACAGGGAACAAGTAGAAGCTGACAAAAATGACGCGATATGACTTATGGGGTCATTAGTTGTAGCATTTCTTTAGTTGTCAATAATATCATTTATTTCGCATGATGTATTTAAAATGACACAATTAAATAGTGTAAACAGTATTAATGATACAAATTGAAATAATTGTTTTAAACATCTATTACTCAGAGTCACCATCATCAATGCTACTATCTTCAGTGCCACTATCATCATTATTGCGACCTCCTGTCTGTGCATGAAATCCCTCAGCAGTTGGCCATTGAAACTTTTTGAGTTTGCCTTCACGGGCAAATGATTGCAACACCTTCATTCCTGCATAGTACATATTGGTGGGCCTACCCTTTGGTAATGTTGAATAAGGGGTGCAAGTGGTGATATCGTGCTGATGAGCCATTCTGAGAAATGATCTCAGGGAGCTATGATCAATGTTGTTAGTATGTGATTGATACACATTGTTCAACCCAGAATGTCCCTTTAGTCTATGCAGAAAATCACGTAGCTAGACTCCTTCGGTGAACATGCAAAACTAACGTTCAAAGTTGATGAAATCGGGAGAGAGACTCACCAATGGGATACAGATCAAGTAGAGGTCTTGAAGTCGCTTAATTGAAGTACCAGTTCCCTGTGTGGGAAAAGTATTCCAATAATTTCCAAATTAGGTGCAAAGCAAATAAATAACACGACTTACAGAGTTATTGTAAGAGAATTTGATCCAGAAGTTTTGGACTTCAAGGAAGAAGTCCTTAGCAACAAAGTGTCCTGGACGTCCACTTGGACAAACAATTAAGTTTTCTATAATCACATCTGCAATGTCTTTAGCACTGCCAACATTTTTATCTTGGATCTCACAATCCGAGGTATTCTTGGGTCGATGCCCTCGGACAGCTCTTGTCTGAGGATTTGATCCGAGCCAATTCATGACGCATAAGATTGCCTCGGATTGAAACCTTGGACAGGACTTATCTGAGGATATGCATCCGATGATGCCTCGGATTTCTCAACCCAAGGCAAGTATGTTGGCAGTGTAGGTAAAGTTTGAGTGAGTAGAACTATCAAATGTGGCAGATAATTGGCGTAGTGCTTCAATCGTTTCATTCCATGTGCATTTACGCTCCAACATTTCCAAACCCGTAACATACGACCAACATCACCAGCGGACATTGACCAAGATCCTTCAACAAGAGTAGCAAAGTCTTGCAATTGTAGAAGGAATCAAAGGTGTTTCTGATCACCTGTATCCTCTGTGTTCTGAATGGCCTCTGGTCCGAAAAATTCATTGTAAGTCTGATCTATAATGTCCTTCATCTTCTCTGGTGTCATATTCACTCGCTCCTTTCCTAAAGTCTCCACATCCAGATTCATCACTTGCCTGCACATATATCAACAAGTACATTAGTGAGACAAGATACAAGATACAAGATGATAAAAGCAATGGTAGGGAATATCTTTGAGACATACTGAATACATAATGTGATTGAACCTTTGTGTAGGTGCTCCATTGAACAAAGCATTGCCGTAAAGTCTTTCTTGCTGGTAGGCTTGTCAAAATCGCCGCCAAGGGCTTCAATGCCCCTCCAAGCCCCCATATCCTTCACATCCTTATAGTTGCCCCAGTGCTCAAGTAGGATGGCCTGAGAAATATTCCATAATACATGAGAAGCACCAAGAATCATCAGGATATGCTGAAAGCTCTTGGATGGACTAGAACACAGATCTCGTTTGTCAACCACACTCACTACTATACACGCCATTCCCAAGTGACCCTCCCAGACTTGTGCTTGACTGGCATACTTCTCTTGTGATAAACCAGTTTGATTCAATACAGAGTTATAAAACTTGCCTACTCCGGATATCGAATTATCTGAAGCTGACATCATCTTGAGCATCATTATTTCAGGTTTATTGGCTGGAAGTTGTCTGACTGTTGGCAGTTACGGTATGGGATTTTTTTGGTGTCAATGGGTTTGGCTACATATTTAACAAGAGCTAGTGGAATTTGAGACTTTAGAGTGAGTTCCCAGTCTGAAATCTTGGTCGGAGTTGGTAGAATTTTGGCAAGATCAATAGGTTTTGTCTGTGATGTGTCCAAGATCGCCTTCAACTTCTCAGCTGTGAAATTTTCCGCAGTAATTGAGAAACCTTCTAGTATCTTTGGTCAATGTACATAGCCCCATGATCCATGCCACATAGTGCTTTCTTGCTCAACAGTGGAAGTGTGGATGTGTTGTTGGAAGTCAATGTTGTCCAGGGTGATGAACGGTGCTAGCAAAGTATCCTCTCCCATAAAACCAATTATCTTCTTCTTTAACTCGTGTCCTAAGTGTTCCAGCGCATGAATAGCTGTTACTTGATTAACAGAGAGGCCGATATAATTGAGATATCTGTTGACTCTTTCTGATACCCCACAAACCAGCATAGTCAGTCCATTTTCAACTTGGAATGCATTTACACATCAATTACAGACACTATGTGCCACCCAAATGGTACACAAGTATCTATCAGGATTTTTATCCAATGACTGGTTTGAAAATGGACACTTACCAAGATATTTCGAGTTTTGCAATTCTCTGAATGATCTTTTGACTTCCAATAGACATACCCCTCCCAGTGCTCAACATATCCTTCACCCTCTCTTAAACCTCCAGGTCCATCAAGCCTCACATTCAGAAGTGATCCAGGTTGAGTATTTCCTTCTAATTCATCATTGGAGTCTATGTTGATATTTTTATCAATAGCTAATCCAATATTTGACAGCGTGTGTCCAGTGGACTTCTTTTGTTTCAGACACGCCTTTCGAATGTTTGCCTTGCGGACGTGTTGCTCCTCACTATGAGTAAGTGTTGATTGGATTAATTTGAATAGAAAGGGCATTGACTTTTCAAGAGTCTTGTCTCATTCGTGTACATCTTCATGATCAAAGAACGACGGTGTCACTTCAGAGGTGTCAATGTAGAAGCCTTTTGGCACCTTGCCCGATGGCGGATGCTGCTTCTTGACCAATGCAACCGCCTGCATCCACTCAATAAATTAGCTTCACAGCTTTCAAAACAAACAGCAAGAGCGCAGACCAACCTGTGACAATACCCAATCTTCCCGAAACTCCTGACCGACTTTTGTTTTCAATATAGCATCTTGTATTTTGCCGAGTATCCTCCCGGTTGAAGGCAGTCCTGCACTGGAGGCCCATACATGTTGAGCCTTTGCCATGTCTGAATGTGTTGACAACAGATAAGCTTTGAGAAAACTTTCAAATTAAGATGATTTGAAGTTATGCAAAAGATAATCCACTGCATTGCTTTTAAAGACACCGGCAAGGCGCCTGGACCAAGATGTCCACTGTTTTGATTTTGAGAAGATTGAGACATTTGAGACATTTTATTTTTTGTATGACAAGTCTGGTTAGAGATCACAAAATGTTTCGAATGTGAGTCAACATTGTTCAGACAAAAGAAAATATCTCAAGAGTTTAGGACAAACATCCAAAAGGGTTTAGTTTTATTTCAAAATGAAGGCAGGTTTTGCCCCAAACCAAATTTCAAATTTGGAAAAGTATTTTGCTAACTGGAGAAAGGTCAGGGGGAGTAACAAGAATTCTGAATAGGCAAGTTTGTCGGGAAGGAGTACACATAGCTCCAGTTGAAAATAGCACGGCGGTTGATTGAGGGGAAGTGGGAGAATATGAGGTTCTGAAAAACCTCTCCTCCAAACTAATTCTAAAGGTGTGGTTGAATTCTCCTGCTCACTCACCAGACCCGGCCGATAATACATAAGTCCCTCCATAGACACCCGAGCTTGCCAAGGATCAAGTGTCTGACTGAGGGACTTAGTTAAGTTGGGTGAAAGTGATGAAAAATGTGCATACAATGAAAATACCCAACTGGACAGTGGTCTTAGATCTTGTGGTGAGCACGGCGCGAAAGGCGCGACAGGGCGCGGGTGCGAGGGTGCGAGGGCGCGCCTATAGGCTCCAAATTAGGGATGGGCGCGCCCTAGAGCCGTAGTGTACTTTTTTAGGAGTTTTGCAGTCAAGTTTACCCCAAACTGGGGGTCTGGAAGGTCTACATAGTTTCACTTGATGATGAAGAGAAATAAAAGATGGGATTTGTGAGAGGAAATGACGAGATGAAGTGTTGATAGACTTTCAGGTTGATCATTAAGCTGAGCCTGAATCAATCTTCAATCCCACCAACTTATTGCCAAGTCACATTCTTCACTTTGAATGACTTCCTTCCAAGCCCTCAAGGTTAAGAGGTGTATACAAGTTTATTAAATTCCACCATATCTTTCAAAACAAAGGATAAATTCAGCCTGTATCACCTCCACTTTCTCATCTTTTCAGTGTGAGTTCTGTCCAATTGCAGCCCAAGTCTCACACCTGACTTTCCCAAAATTCCAAGAGAAGGGAGGCATAATTCTCCTAGGTAATCAAGCTTGTGAGTAGTGGATGTTGAGTAGAAGTCATGCCTTAGTCTAATCATGACTTGCCATGTGTCCAGAATCTCATTTCACTCAAGCAGAGCAGTCAGAGGGATAGTCTGTTCCAAATCTCTATACACTTAATTCTCTCTGGGATTTTGCTGCTATTTTATGGGACTTGGATATATGGATGATGGAAAAGAGGAGTTGTTTTTTGCTGTTGTCTAACATTTTCCTTGTTCCCTTGTTCCTGAGAATAAAACAGGTACCAGGTTTTGTGTTTTGGTTTGTCTGTGCATAGCTTTGTCTGTGTCTCCCAAGCCCAGTGGCAATTTAAGCAGTGGTTGCTCCTTAGAATCCCCAGGGAATTAACTACCTCTGCCTTCACCACATACTTGCAGTATATCTGTGTCTGACCATAGATAAGTATTGCAACCTCATCTCCACAAGAAATTGAAGAATTTGGATCTCAAAACATCTAAAATGTTCTGTGCTGTCAAGCCCGCATCATTGCATACCAGCACAGTTGCATAATCAGTGTTAATGCATACAAAAAACCTCTGATTTTGATTCTTTTTATTGACAAATCTGAAAACTGATTTGCATAAACAGTCAAAATCAACCTATGTGATTTTGTGGGCTTGACTCTATGCAAGGTCAAAAGTCTCTTTACAGATCAAATAGAGCCACAGCATCACACTCATCAGGGCTGGAGGAAATGTGATGTGCAAGCCTGAAAGGACCACACTCTGGTCAATGGATCATAGATGCAAAGGATATTGCAGGGCTTTGCTGGTGTTGATTGTTTATTTGTTGTAATTTCACTTTTTCAAGATTCAATGAGTTTGCATTACATGATATGAGATTTTGAGCCTACCCCAAAGTCTGCTGATTCTGCTACCATACCAATGAAGCTGATTGAATCATGGCATTTTCTCTTGTGGGTGATTAATCTTTTTAAAGCACCTTTTGTATTCCGCTGCCGCACTCAGATCTCACAGTGAAAGCTGAATATGATGTGAAGTGAACTTTTTGAAGATCTTGGTTAACAAGCAACAATCCAAATTAAATCTCCTGTTTTAATTACAATTTTGACCAGTACAGTGAAAAGTTACAACCCTTTATTTCTATACGAAGAGGATGATTCAAGAGCATTTTTAAATCCGAACTATGATCACGATTAAAGCAATCTGTATAGCTAACACAATCAATGAAAGAATTATAATCACATCTCCCGCAGTGCGAAATTCCCGTCCCCATCTTTTTTGACGTGGTTTTTGTGCGCCCTCTAAAGTTTGGTTCACATACTTATCAGAAAGATCACAATTCAATCTTCTGCGGCGTACATGAATAAATAATAACAGGACTAGAGATAGTAAGGCATAGATCAGTCCAACTACAAGGCCAAGGAACCTGAAGTCAGTTTTATCAGATCCAGCATTTTTTGAATGAAGTCAGAGTGGTGAGAGTGATTCACCTTTGTCAAACTCTTTAGAAAATAATCTCAGAATTATCAAGGCGTAAATCGAGCAAGCGAGCGAAGTCCTAAGGTATGCTCCTGTTTGAATGGGATTCATAAAACATTTCATCGTTAAGAAAGTTCACAAAATCATAATTAAGACAGAATTACATTACTTACCATCAAAGGTACGCTGACGTGCACGCCACTCGACCATCAAGTCCTCGTCACCATCCCTGAGAACAAAGCTTTCAGGACGATGTCCTTGATAAAGATGACTTCGGGACGTTCGAAGACAGTTTTGCTGATCAGACGCAAGAGGAGACGAGTTATGATTTAGATTGCGGCTATCAAACTCAGCCGTAAGAGGAGATGATTCAAAGGTGAGATTGGGGCTGTCAAAACGAGGATGTTGTAGTAAGAGACCTGAAGGTACTGGTGTAGTGCTCATGATGAGATTAGTGGTGTTCGAAGACAGAGACGAAGGGAATGAAAGTGAAGGAGAACAAGAGTCATGCAGGCTGCAATTTATCCCTCAACTTGTAGTAGATTCTAACATGCGATACTTGCCAGACGGACGCTCAAATCGCATCGTCAGAATACACCCAATTGAGAGGGGTGAGATGAGGGGAGATGCCCTTATCAAAACGAACAAACAAATCTTCATCGCGTATGAAATAAAAAAACCTTCATCTGATATTCAGATGTATATCGATGATCTCGTAAGCATCAACGAGGCAGAACGAGGCCCAACGGAATCATTTTCCAAAAGCTTGTCCAAATTTGCCCGCAAAGCACGAGCAACCTGGCAGTGAATTCGTGACAAGCTTTTTGAAAACAACGGTACATTTTTTCATCTTTACTTCAAAGTTCACAGTCAAATTTTGTATAGAAGTCATCAATTCCGTTCGATCCGGTATCCAGCTAACTTAACAAAGTCCCTCCGAGGCTTGACACCCTGTCAATCAACAAGTTAAATCAGGAATTGCGACATGCGGATTCAACCTGATTCAACTTGCTTGAATGACAGCTGTCGCAGCATCGAGGGACTTTGTTAAGTTAGGGTATCCAGCGATTACATACTATGTACATGATTTCTTGCTCATGCCCGGTCACTCGGTGAATGGCGTCACGGGTGGGGAAAAGACGAAAAGTATAACGAATAGTACGATAGCACGTCAGTGCTCACTCCAAGGTATCGGCCTCCACAGTAGATGGTGATGTGGAAGCTTCAACCGAGGAGACGAGACTTGACTACAAGAGAAAGCTGTACAACGTCACGTGACACTCTGTGGTGCAGTCGTGTAACCCCATAACTCTACAACACCCCCCCCACGACAAGCCACAGCAGACCTCTCCTCACTCACAAAAGACAAAAAAAACAAAACAAAACAAGATAAAAAAAAACAAGAAAAAAACTTATAACGCGCACATATATAAATCATGTCAGACCTAAATTCCTCTTCCCAGCTTCAAAAAGATATGGGCCCAGTGCTTTCGTGAAAATGTCAGCTTTTTGATTCTTTGATTCAATCCAGTGTAAAGTTACTGTGCCTTTGAAGAGCTGTCCATTCACATAGTAAAACTCCCTATCCGTGTGTCGTGTTCTTTTGTTGGATGAGTTGTCTTTCGATACGTGAATAGCTGAAGTGTTGTCACAAAACAATTTCACTGAACCCATAGCACCTACTACATCTTCCACCAAATTTCTCAGCCACACCGCCTCCCTCGCTGCAGTTCCCAAAGCCATGTACTCCGCGTGGCAGGTAGAAGTCGCTACGCAGCCCTGACGCTTTGATGTCCAAGCAATCGGGCATCCTAAAAAGAAAGTTGTGTACCCGTGAACAGATCTCGAGTACTCCCCTCCCCAGTTTGCATCGACGTAAGTATGTAATCCGGTCTTGACTTCTCCTTTCAACGGCCTTAAGTTCAGCTTGAGCACTCCGGAAGTTTTCAAATAGCGCATGATTCCCTGAATAGCCGCCCAGTGTTGCTTGGTTGGTCTGGCGGAGAAACGCGCTAAAAAATTGGTCGCATACGTTAAATCAGGTCTAGTCGCCACTGCCAGGTAGTTCAAACAGCCAATAACCGACAGGTATTTTGTCTTGTCGATATCTTCTTCGTCTTCACTCGGTGACGTAGGTAAGTTGGATGCGTTCAGTGGCGTGTTCGATTTGCCCGGTGTCTCCAAAAATTCATTAATTACCTTATTCGTCAGTCCGGCTTGAGATAGTTCAAAACTTCCATCCTCTAGTCTCTTAACGTCCATACCCACAATACAATCTAATGTTTCTGACCATCTAATCTTTAAATCTCTAGTTAACGCTTCAGCCAGCTCCCTCAACAATTCTACGCTACTTCCTGTCACTACCCCATCATCCACGTGTACCCAAATAATGCAGATCTCCGCTCCTCTCTTGCAAACGTAAAGTGACTGATCAAATTGACTAGGTTTAAATCCAAGCTTGATTAGAATCTTCTCGATATGCTTCCACCAACATCTTGCCCCCTGCTTTGTTCCGTATAGCGCCTTAACTGCCTCTAGAATCTTGCCTGCTTTCCTAGCTGCCTCCATACACCCCGGTGGTAACCTGAAAAAGAGCTTGCTGGTGATATCGCTGTGTAAATACGCTGCGGTCACATCAAAAGAATGCACGACCCATCCCATCCTCGCCGCTAAGATCAGAATGAAACGGAGAGATGCCATGCACGCTGTCGGGGCGAACGTCTCGTCGTAGTCAATGCCTTCGACTTGAGAGAAACCTTGAGCTACGAGTCGAGCTTTGAATTTGATTGGAGTACCGTCTTCTGCTAGTTGTTTATGCTTGAAAACCCACTTCAGGCCGATAGTGTTGACGTTTGCTGGGCAGTCAATGACCTTCCAGACACCCATCTCCTCCATCGCCTTCAGTTCCACATCAATTGCTGCCTTCCTTTCTTTAGCGTATTCATCTTTCATCGCGGCAGTGTAAGACAGTGGTTCCTTCATACCGGCCGATAGATTCACAGCATTAATGATGTATTCGACTTGAGCATCTTCATTGTGTACAGTCAGTTCATCTTTGAAATCTCCGAGTTGTAATGCGTTCACGATGAAATCAAGCTTGCCCTTTTGGGGTGGTACGTTGAGTAGTTTGTTTAAAGAATTTGAGGTGGTGGGTTCGTTTGGGGAGGACGATGATGAAGGATGTACGAATTTATCTTCATAAGGGAATACAGCAATACCTGTCTTTAAGAGAACTTTTGAACCGGCATTGTAGAATATCCAGCCTTTTCCTCCGTCAAGGTAACCGATCATGACACATTTCCTGCCTCTGTCGTCAAGCTTTCCACTGCGTTGTGTGTCGTGGCGATGTACAAAAGCGGTAGATCCGAAGGTTCTGATAATGTCGAGCTGAGGTTTTCTGCCGTAGAAGATTTCGAAAGGCGTCTTGTTTCCTGTTAACGAGTTAGGTAAGCGGTTGTGCAAATAGCATGCAGCTATATATGCAAAAGACCAGAATGATTGCGGTAGGTGCGAAGCCGCCAGCATCGTCCTACCCATATCACTAATGGTTCTGTTGAGCCGTTCCGCAACGCCGTTTTGTTCGGGTTCATAAGGGTTGGAATGTTCGTGAAAGATACCTTTAGACTTCAGCCAAGAGTTGAAAGTTGTCTTGATATATTCTCCACCGCCGTCTGTCCTCACGTGCTTGACTTTGAATCCCGTCTCCCGTTCCCATTTGTTGATGACGCGGGTAAAGGTATCGGGAACTTCTGACTTGGCCTTGATAATGACGATCTCTGAGAATGTCGATGCTACGTCTCTGAAAGTTACGGTGAATCGATTTCCGTTGACGTCTTCGGGAAACGGACCCATTACGTCCGACACGATCACATCTAAGAGTCCATGTTCTCTCCCAGAACGTCCGAGCTTACAATGTCTTGTGCTTTTGCATATTAAGCAGTCTTCGCAAGTGAAAGCAGTCGAAGGAATGGAGTCGGGTAAACCTAAGCCTAGTTGTCCTGCGCACAACTTACGTATACGCTTCATGTCAACGTGACCGAAACGGCGATGCCACAGGTACGCTAAATTTGTATCCTGCTGACTGCTCATAACGTTCACGCGACCGACTCTCTCAGGCATCTTTTCAGTGATAACATGTGGTTTATTTGCATGTATAGCCCAGCGACGATTACAATAAGAAGCAGTGACTGAGGTTCCATCCCTCATCCTCATGATAACATCATTCCCCCAAAACCAAAACTTCGCGCCATTCTCCACCAGTGCAGCTTGTGATATGAGGGTACCGGTTGCTTGAGGGCTGTAATAAACGTCGGTGATGATGAAGTCTGACCCATCCGATGCCTTCACTCGGAGGTTTCCTTTCCCTATGATCAAAGCGTTATCACCTTGAGCTGCTGTTTTTAAGCGGATGGGGTTGGGAAGCACGGAGTAGTTTAGAAGAAGATGCAAAGCGTTGCTCACATGGTGCGTGGCTCCACTATCCAACAAGTACTCTGTAGGTACATCGTCAGGTTGGTTGCCCTCCGCACTCCACGCGACGGTCGATGCCGATACTTGAGAAGGCTCGTACTGCGTGCTGATTTGAGCTGATCGAGCTTGGACTGAACTTTGCGTGAGACCTAAGGCTTGAAGGCTGTAGAAACGATTATGGATGGTCTTTCTCCAATCCCAGAAGTGCGGGGCTGTTCTGTTGATCCTCTTCAAGTATATAGGACAGCGTTGAGTACCGTGACCGAAAGCAGCACAATGACAACATTGAAAAAGCCCTTGGTGGACTTCAGGTAGTGCGTTACGCGAAGGGGTGATAGGATGTGCTTCGGATTTGTTTCTTTCATCGATCGAAGGTGAGATTGGACCAGGTGATGCGGGACCGGTGAAGAGTTTGTTCGCAGGAGATGGAGAGAAAGATTGAGAAGAAAAACGGGGTTGATTGTACGATTTCTGATTGACAGGAGTTTGATTTCTAGTATTCAATTTACTAAAGGAGGTGCTAAGAGCTTGAATGCTTTCACCTTCGTGAACTGTTCTACGAGTAGTAATGAGGTTTTGATAAGCGGTTCTGACTTCGGCGAATGAAAACGGCTTCTTATCTAGCTGATATCGTGCGTCTAGAGTGGCGTTCACCACGTCCATGCCGTATTCGCCAGTGGTCGGCGAACACAATTGCAAAACAATGCCCTTCACAATGTCTTCATCCCAAGAGAAACCGACGGATTTGAGCTTTTCGAAGTCTTTGTTCATTTCGTTGACGAACGTCATCAAGTCCGTCGTTGAAGGGTCGAAGCGTCTCAACATGATCGATCGAAAGGTAACGTATTGAGCCGTTCTGCCACCTTGTCTGAATAGTTCATCTAAGGTAAACAATGCGTCATGAGCGAGAGACTTATCGGCGATGATGTCTTTGAGATCTTCATGAATTGTCGAATTGATGACTCTGCCAGCGCAGCGATCGATGGCCATTTGAATGTCCGATTCTTCATCGGGTCTGGTCGACGTCCAGTAGCTAGAGACATCGGTCATTTCGTAGACGGCTCTGGCGGTGCGAAGCTTCCATCTTGCGATGTTCGAACCGTCGAGTGCTAGAGGTTCGATGCCCGTGATGAACTTGTGGACATCGTCGTGCTTGCGATTGAGTTCTCGCAGACGATCGTTCGGTTGATCTGATTGAGACATTCTAGCGGTATGCGATAAGTTTTCCGATTCGTCAGGAGTATGAAAGATAGTCTGACGGCGATTAGAGTGTGATAATTTCAGCAGATCAGGGTTTAAATAGTTCGTGGGGGGTTGAGAAGATTGGCCAGCAAGGGGGGTGTTTTCGCGAGTCGTTGTAGTTTGACCTTCTCCTTGCTGTGACGATATTGATTGTGAACGAGAATGACGTGATAAAGAGTCCGAACGAGATTGACGCGATGACGATAAAGCTCTCGATTTAGATCGAGTTTGTCTACTTTTGGTGGAGCTGGACGATTTCTTTGGCGGAGTGCGAGCAAGTGACATAGGACCGGAAGCTGAATGGCGGTTCAGACTTACACTATGAGCTTTGCGAGATAGCGAATACGATTAAAAAGCGCTGCTCATAACCTATAACGAATAGTACGATAGCACGTCAGTGCTCACTCCAAGGTATCGGCCTCCACAGTAGATGGTGATGTGGAAGCTTCAACCGAGGAGACGAGACTTGACTACAAGAGAAAGCTGTACAACGTCACGTGACACTCTGTGGTGCAGTCGTGTAACCCCATAACTCTACAACAAAAAGAAGTTCAAAATCTTGAAGCTCGCAGGAGAGTTGGTTGCGAAGTGCGAAGGGCCCTGGTATGTAGCACTCTGAGATCGATGGAGCATGCGAATGGTATATGCAGTGAACAGAACAACAGCAAATGAGCAGATACTAGTCTGGGTTGCACTGATGATGGAGATAAGCTCAAGTGGCCCCCTCACAAGCGCGTTCGCCGCGCCCTATAGAGTCCTAGTCTTTCTCAGTCTGGAAACAAAACTATCAAATCACCTTCGCGGGCTGGACTTTGCCTACATGATCATCAAGTTTCCAGAAATTGAATCCACACTTATTCAACTATTCATGGCAATGACATCATTGAGCGCGCACCGCTACGCTACGCCGCATGGACCCATTTTGATATCGCTGCGACTTGATAGTGAAAACTTACAATGCATGTCTTTTGAAAGTGGGAAAGGAATTCAAAACGACCTCTATATACGAAATATGATAAAAATAATGCAGAATACAAGCCAAAACAATTGACGAGACAATGACTAATACTATCACATCTCCTGCAGATTGAAGCTCGCGTCCCCATCTCTTTGTACCTTGTTGATCCTCATCCTCTGTTTTTTTATATGTTTGCCAAAAAGGTCATGATTAGATCTGCTTCGACGTAAATACATAAATCAAAATAAAAGAGATATAGATCAGTACAACTACGAGTTGAAAAACCCAAACTTCAGGCAGGATTCTTCAAGTGAGGAATTGTCTGAAGGAGTTCGTCGGACACTACCGGATACCGGTACCAGGAGCTCATCCCGTCTCAAGAGACCGTCACATGGCCCGACCCGTGCGATGATCAACATTGTTCTTCGCATAAAAGTCAAGCGGTCTCCAGACACAAAACGTGAGCGTGAACCATGGTCAGTGAGCTCACCCCCACGTCCATCATCTATTTCGCTTATCAAAGTCTTAAAATTTTACTGATACAATTCTTTTCACTTTCAGGCTAACACTACCGCCAAGGGCGCGCTCTCCATTCACGGTACTAATCCTCAATTCTTGATCGATAAAGTCGTTCGATCGCGTATATATGATAGTCAATATTGGAAAGAGACTTGTTTTGCTCTCACTGCTGAGAGTATAATCGATTGCGCTATCAGTTTGAAGTACGTTGGTGGCACCTACGCTAATGTTCGACCGACAGAATTCATGTGTTTGGCACTCAAGCTACTTCAACTTCAACCAGAGAAGGAGATCATCTTAGAATATCTGAGAGCGGAAGAATTCAAGTGAATTTCCAGCCCTTTCATGTAAAACGAACGCAGATTCACTGATTTCCTATTACCTATGAACTTAGGTACTTACGAGCCTTGGCGGCCTTTTACGTTCGGTTAACTTTTACGCCCCTTAATGTTTATCAAACACTTGAACCATTGTTGACGGATTTTCGAAAGCTGCGGTTTCGACACATGAATGGTTCCTATTCATTGGTCACCTTTGATGATTTCGTTGACTCCTTACTGGTAGAAGAACGAGTATTCGAGATTGTCTTACCCCGATTGACGATGCGAAAGGTGTGGAAGAGACTGAAGGCCTGGCTAAGCGAAAGAGCTCCCTAGGGATCGCGCTCGGTGTCGAATCTGACGAGGAGGAAGTTGGAGAAGATGATGAGGAGGAAGGCAGCGAGCGATATGTTTCACGATCTCCATCGCCAGCTTCACATCAATCATCGCCTTCAAAACTGCCAGAGTCTTCCCAGCCTCACAGTGACCACAGCGATCGGTACATATCACGATCTCCATCACCTGAACGCTTTATCAGTCGGAGTCCTACTCCTGAGGATGAAAGGATTGATGGTGACGTATGACATCGCCGTTTTTCCCGCCATGACGCTGGCACAATCATGTAACAGACGGGACGTATCTGGCTCAACTCGAACGCGCCAAGCAAGGATTGAGGGCCTCAAGAGAACGCTGAGCTCTACATATGCAGTATGTAGGTTACCCTGCTGTATTCGGCTCTTTGCTATGATGTTACCCACTCATACGACGTTGAACTCGAATGTCGAATTTCAGCCCTGGAGTCACCTTCACCTTCACCAATCCAGATTATAGGGTCAAGATCAGTCCGAGTTTTGAGTTTCGACATGTAAACATTTTTTATGAATCTCTGTAAGGAAGTGTAGAGATGAGTCACGTCTATCTAGATGTCTGTAATGGGAGGAAAACCCATTGCCAAACTTTTGATGTAGCTTGAATCAAAAGCTGACATGACCCTATTAATTATAATGATGAGGGCTCCTTTTGGCTCAATAGTGAATCCCGTGGGCCGAAACAGTGCGCCTTCACAATTCTGCTAGCTGCTTATATATTTTGGGACATGATGAGAAGCTCATGCAAATACCAAGCCCGATGCGAACTTTTTAAAATCGCCATACAAGAGAAAACCACAAGCTATGACCAAGCTATTACCAAACCTCTGGTCCATGTTGATCAATTCAAAATCCCGTGATGAGGTTAATACTTGTTCTTATACTCAACGCTGTTTTGGTCTTTGCTTGTTCTCATTCAAGAGGTTCATTCACTCACATTCTACATGGAACTAATCAAACAAGACGAAAACACCAAAGTTTGCAAATGTATGTAGTCCTTAGAGCATCCGCAACCGTCGCATTAAGTCGTCGGAATAGCTAAGTATTTACTACCTTTGCTAAAAAGCTTGCCCGGTTTGATCGCGAAGAAGAGACATGAGAGGCAAACTTAACTAAGTCCCAGTCTGGACCTAACCACCAACTCCAGAGAGGGACTTACGCGCTATCTCGAAATTCTGGCGTGAGATCCCTCGGTACATCGCTCTTTTTTCTTGCATCACCATTTCTCGCGAAGTACCATTACCAACCTCCCATAACCTCATAATGAAAAATGAGCGCATGCTTCTCAACTAAAACGGCCCGCTCTCAAAATTTCCTTATCATAATTCGTTCTTATATTATCCCAAAAAAGGTAAATGGGACATCCACCCGGGCCGTACAGGACATTCAAGAGAACTGCGGCGGCCAAAACCCAAATTTGCACTCAAAACACCAAAATCATTGTACTAAACCTTGAAATAGTTTTAGACAAACTGCTGTTCTGACTGAAACGAGAGAATTTCGATAATTCCACGAAACGACACTCCTCATCGCACCATTATACCCAATCCTGATGGTTCTTTATCCAAGGTCTGAGATCGATTTGTTGTATTCAACGATGTTGAAGTCGATTGAAAATGACAAATACAGGGATTGAAATCTATACCAGGTAAGTATCGTGGCCCAATCTGAAGATCAACAGAACGCTTGACTTCACTCGATTATGCTTGCCAATGACATAATGAAAAGTCGACCTTGATGGCGTACAGTATTGAATCTTGAGTGTTGATTGTTTGAGTCGTCGAACAGAATTCCTGTGAGAAACTAAAAAGACAATATTATCATTAGATGAAAAGCTTCAACTTGTTCTATTCTTGATTCATTGCAGAATTGATACAAAGAACCTATGTTCTTTTTATCAAAAATTATTGCTTTCTTTCTCAGGCGGATGAACTTAGCATCTGCGCTTACTACCCTTGGTGACAAGAAGTGGAATAGATATAGCAAGTGGCGCATTGCTTTTGTGGTCAACAAAGATCAATGCTGACCTTTTGACATGATGTTGTTTGTTGAGCAGGCTGTCGCCCAACAATGCATTCTTTTTAAGACTCTTGGCGAGCAAGAACTGTTGTTTGGTCGACTCATAACATTAATTGAGGAGACGCAAACCTTTCTGACGCGCAGCATCAGAATGACGTGTGTAAGCTTTTGGCCCCGGTGGATGTCCCAGTTCCTTTTTTTGGCATATATGAGACAATTATGATA